CGCTGGGTGGGGACGCTCGGGGAGGCGGCGCCGGGGGCCCACGTGTGCCGGGCCCCCGGGGAGGAGCGGGGCGCCGCCCGCCGACCTGCCACGCGCTCTTCCAGGCCCTAAGCGGCAGCCGCATGGGAAGTGTCACGGGACCCTGAACCGAACTAAGGGATTCTTCCAGCCCAGGCGCACAGGCAAGAGCAGTGACCCCCACACAGGTACCCCGAAGCAGAAACGTGCTCACAAGTACTGAATGCACTTGTTTACAGATGCACACGTGCGAGACTCCCATTCAGATAGCACAGGTGCGGGCACACCCAAACGGACATAAGGACTCATCCTCAGGATTCTTCCCCCAGATGCTAGCTGTAAGCTGCTATGCTTACTGTGCTGAACACAGGGGCACGCAGGAATGTCACGGTTACATGAATACAGACACACTCCCTAGACATTATACACACAGATAAAAACAATACACCACGTGCACAGTGTAGACACAAAAACTACAGCTCCCATCTTAAAAAGAATAAGAGGTCATTCTGGAGCCATTTTGAGTGACCGTGGCCTGGGAACACAGACTTAAGTTACCTCAAATTCCATGTTCAAAAATGGAAGCAGTTTCAGGAAGTTTTTATGGCTTTACAGAACAGAAGAAGTCATAAATCATGACAAGTTTAAAATACATCCGAGGGGTACACCAGAGAGGCAGGTACCAGAGACGGGGAAGTTTTCCTACAGGTTCAAGATGCTCTCCGGAGGCATTCCTGGCTTTTGTATTGGCAGAAGCGAGCTGTCCTGTTAAGTCTATAGATTCTAAAAGGGTTTTATCTATTGTCACAGATGTTAGTTCCGACAAAGAAGGCAAGGAAGGAATGAATGGCTGTTCCAGAGGACCAGAATTTCGCCCAAGAAAAGGTAATTCCTCTTTGAACCTGCAACATTTCAACCTCTTCCACAGTCCTGAAATGCTAATCAGGCAGTCTCTGTGGACAGTTTCCTTTTAGGTCTCCTTCACAGCCAGACACGGCTTCTTTCTGGAACAGAGATGAACCACACAAACCAAGACAGACATTCACACACAAGCATTTAGAACCCCGGAGAAGGAAGCAGACACATCACACACACACACACACACACACACACACACACACACACACACACAC